TTGTGACCCCACCCTAACCCCAGGGGTCATGATTTGAACAAATTTGAATCTACACTATCTGAGGATGGCTTCACATGAGTTTTTTTCTTTTCTGGCCCAGTGGCTCTTGAGAGGAAGATTTTAATGATTTTTTTTCCTATATACTCCTATGTATAACTTTGATCGTCCATTGTGGCCCCACCTTAGCCCCCGGTGGTCATGATTTGAACAAACGTGAATCTACATCACCTGAGGATGCTTCCATATAAATATGACCAATCATGGCTTTGCTGTCCTTGAGAAGAAGATTTTTCAAGATTTTTCCTATATATCCCTATGTAAAACTGTGATCGTCCATTGTGGCTCCATCCTACCCCCAAGGGTCATGATTTGATCAAATTTGAATCTACACTACGTGAGGATAATTCTACATGAGTTTCATCTTTCCTGGCCCAGTGTTCTTGAGAAAAAAAGTTTTAAAAGATGCCAGTAATTTTTCACTAATTTGTAATTATCTCCCCTTGGAAGAGGGCGTTGCTCTTCATTTAACCAAATTTGAATCCCCTTAACCCAAGGATACCCTGTGTCAAGTTTGGTTGAAATTGGCCCAGTGGTTCTGGAGAAGATGAAATTGTGAAAAGTTTACAACGACAACGACGACAGACAACGGAAAAATTTCGATCAGAAAAGCTCGCTTGAGCCTTCGGCTCAGGTGAGCTAAAAAGGAGAAAAGGTTTTAGTTAAAATTTTGGCATTCGAGGGAAAACACAAAATTTCAGACAAATGGGAGGATACCCCTTATGTAATACTAGAGCAACCCAACAAAGACATCCCAGTTTATACAGTTATTAGAGAAGATGGATCAGGAAAGAAGAGAAATTTACATAGGAATTTACTTTTACCTATTGGTTATTTATCAGAATCCACAAATTTTCCAAAACAAGACAAACCCATCCCTAAGCCTCGAACCAGGCTGACAAGGAAGAAAGAGATCAGATAGAGAGAATTCAGTGACTGATTCCCAGTCAATTTATGAGTTCTTTTATGATGATGAAACATATGAGGTCAAAACAGTCAAGACAAGAAGATTTTTAAAGATGGATGAGAAGGATAGTGCTGATTAGCAGGTTACATCAGAGAAACCACAGGTTACATCAGCGAAACCACAGGATGTACCAGAGAAACAACAGGATATACAAGAAAATGATGAGATTATATGTCATCGGGTCACGGTCTTGGTTTTTTCAGTGAAAACAAAACTGGTTCGGTCTTATAATTTAATTATGGATATAGAAAAAACCTGGAAAATAGAAAACACACACTCACAACACTCATACAAAACAAAAGACATAGACAAACACGAAACATAAAGACATTTAAACATTAAAGAAAAGTAATGGTAATTAAGATATTAATACGACTGCCAGAAGATCGTTACATATATTTAACAAGTAAATGAATTAACAAGTTAATGAACATCTTACCAGGCATCCAGTATTAAAATCAGGAATAAATAATGCACATCGATTGAATGGATCTAAGGTATAACAAATAGTTACGTTATCTGTTACCGTAAAGGCACAAACACTTGGGGTGGGAAATTTGGCGGGTTTCTTACTTTATATAGTGCACGAGTTAGTAAAAACATGCATATAAATTAGAATAGTGAAATCCATTGGTCCATGGTAGGTCACTGGTCAGTCATACGTATATGAATGCTAAAAATATAAATTCACCTGTACAAAACAAAACACTTGCACATGGCTCTCACATACCTGCGAAAACGGTTGTATTCGATTGGCTATGCGCGCCAATCGGAATACGATACTAAATATTTCGCAAAGCATAATTTTTATATTTAATAATAATAATAATTTAATTACAACTGTGACATATAAAAGAGAACATAGAAATAGTACAAGACAATCAGGAAGATGCTAAAGAACTTAAAGAGACAGAAACTGAAGATGTTCAGGAAGAGGTACCCTTACCTGAAACATCCATACAATTACAAAGATTCCAGAGTGGTTTTTCAGGCAAGTATATAACAAAGTCAGTTCTGCAGTCACCATGGGAAGAAAAAATAAATTGAATACAAAGTCTTGTTTCTAACACCAATTAATTTTCAGAGATGGAGACAGATACCGCAGCAACTATACTAAACATAATTGACCACGGTTAGAATGACGAGGACGTCATTTGCCACCTGGGGGGAATATGTGGAAAGGTGTAAATATTTGAAAAGTGTATATATTTTTAGTATTTTAGGATTTTGTGTTCATTTGACATGCTTAGTAGTTTTGTCTACAAAATAATTTTGATATCATTATTTACAGGAAATTCATGTAATTTTACTTATTTATATTTCAACAGTTTATTATCTATTTAAAGTATACTATACTTTAGAAACTATAATTATTTAGGAATTACTTTAGTATGAATAAATATAAGTTTCCCTTATAGTAATTAACTTTGAGAGGTCAGTGACCTATGAAGTGACCTGTCAGTGAGATTTCATTGGTCGAGGTTTTGGAGGGAAATCGCTTTGTGGGCGGTGTATTTTTGGTCAGAACTGGTCATACCAGTCTTTGTGACATCTATTTGACAGGATGTCTTGGTTGATTTCCTGATTTCATTAATTTTGGGTGTAACAGTTTACTGCGTTTTCTTTGAGTGTTGAATTCCAGGATTTCAGGTCTGTTCTTGGTATTATTTTCATTTATAATTGTGATTTTGATTGTGTGTGTGAAACAGGTGTTTGAATGGTTAACGTAATCTTGAGAGATTGTGTAAATGAGCAATATAAATATTTTATCCGACATTTCACTCTTATTCAAGGATGACAATGTATATATGTAATATGTAGGACAAAGTGAAATGAATAAATAAGTGTAAAGTTGTAAAACTATCTTTATAAATAACTTGTATAACTATTATTATTATTATTATGTTATTAATATTAACGTTCGAAATTTTACCTTTTGTTTCATAAAATTTAAATAATTCTTTCAAATCAAAAGCTTAGGTGTTTTTCATTAAATTAAGCAGTTATTATCATTTAAGATTTTCTATGTCAGCTAAGGGGGGTTACTCATTGTTGTATACTCTTTATAGGACTCACAGTTACTGTACATGTATTATGTAATCCAGATTTTTGACCATATTAAAGGTAATTTATAAATTTTATGTGTTGTTCCAATATATGAATTTGTTGCCAGAACTTATTTTTTGAGCTCAGTATTTGTCATGCATGCCTATATTTTGTGTTGAATTTCATGTGTATTCTGTCCAATGCATGAAATTGTATTTGTGTTAATGTTCAATATGAAATCACATAAGATTATTTGATTCAGGATTATTTAATTTCATATAATGATTATGATAATGATTTTCTTTCATTTTAAATGACTAAATAATAAAAGAATTATTTTTATGATAAATTGATCTGTGATAAAGAAATATTTTTATATTAATTTAATTCAAAGAGAATATGGATCATAAAGTATGAGACTTATTATAATGATGACATACTATAATGGAGTTAAATGTATATATATATATATATATATATATATATATATATATATATATATATATATATATATATATATATATATATATATATATATATATATATATATATATATATATATATTATTACAGGGTCTACTCTACTGTTTCTATTATTTAATAAAATACCAGTATGAACCAAAAACCAAAGTCGTTTTTATTCAACGAACCCTATTATAAAAATTTAGCGTAATCACCGCTAAAATAAAAAAAATATAAACTTATTCTAGTTTTTTTTTAAATGAAGATTATACACGAATATTTTAAACACTCAGGTATAATTATCAGTATTAAATAAACTTGTCCACCTGGCCGAATTTAGCTTAGGGTAAGTAGAAGTTGATCGTCACTTTTAACGATTTTAATTAAAGCAATTACACAAACAAAAACTCATTATTTCCCAACAAAGTGTTAATCAACTAAGTAAGTTTACAACGGAAGATTATGTAATTATATATGTTCATATTTCACAGGAGTCGTGTGCAGTAACCCCGCCAAATTCTATCGGTTGTCTTGGTAAAATTTACGTGATTATCAAGGCAAATATTGAATACAACCAGTAATAATAGATCAATGAATCTAAGATTCAAGTTTTTTTTTTTTTAAATCTTTTTTCAGAAAAAGGTGGCCTAATACTACATTTTAGAAGGGTAAATCATGAAGTAACTACGCTTTACTAGTGCTTTCGCCACTGTTACATTGTCAAGGTAAATGATAGGCTGATTTGCTTTATTAATAATAATTTCATTTATTGTAATTAGATTTAAAACAAATTAAATATTATATAGAATCTTAAACATGTATCATGATGTATAGGTCACACTTGAATCGGGTTCGCGATTTTGAACATTTACTAATGGCAGATTGGATAGTCTGACAGAGAAGCATGAGTCAACAAAGCCCACTTTTGTATTCATTTATTAACGAAAATCATGAATTAGCCCATCGTTGTTTGTCCCAAAGCCGCTATAATATGAAGCCCGATTTGTAAAGTACACACACGGTATTATTCTAGAATATACTAGTATACCAAAGAGAGAAGATCCCTAAATTAGATCGTTATTATGCGTAAATGAAGATGAATCAATAATTAGGAGTGACCTAACTATAATATAGAACAGTGCTGTAGGGTTGCAGAAACTAACCATTTAAAAATTTCCTGAATTTCCATTGAAATTCAATATATTTTTTTTAAATATTAAACATCCCGTAGACTGAGGGACAGACAGCTAACTAGACAAAGATACAAACAGAAAACCACCTTCATTCAACTTTGGGACAATGAATTGAAACCAACATGACTTAATCTTCCTTACTGTTTCTAGATATAAAATGTACAAATTTTTAAAACAAGTGTTTTTCCCTAAAACAATTTCATATTTCATAATTTGGCAATTTTAATATATAATTTGAAGTCAAATATAAGAATATAAGTGCTTAAATACAAGAACATATTTACATATATATTTAAAATAACTTAAAATGAGTCTATTTCTCTAAGCATTTAACCACCTGAGATTAATACAGATCTTATCATGAAATCAAATAAAATAAATATATTATTCCTTATCTAATATACAAGTTGATGCGAATAATTTCTGAACAAAAACGATCGGTCTTTGTCGAAATTTTGTAACTTAAAAAACAAAAACGTATTTATTAAATGAAAATAATAATTAATGAACCCTATATTTGTCTTTTACAGATATCGTAATGTTGCTTTTGGACATGTTTTCTGACTATATCTGTAGTTAATATTAAATTTAATAGAACGTAATTAAATAGATGCTTTAATTTACTCCTGTATTGTATGATTTCTGTAACCTCTTTGCCCTCGTCGATCAAGTGTCTTTATGTTTCTTCGTACAGTTTGTCGTAGGTTTAAGCCCTGACTTTTTCTTTTTTCATAGTGTCCGATGTGGCTTCTACCCAAATCATTTTTCCTCTTTTCCGCAATTTCTTTAATTACAGATTCATTGCAGTATATACCCTCGTCGTCATCTGAGGTTTCATTCAAGCTGGTACTGTCATCAGTCACAGGCGATTTTGCAAGTTCCCCGATGTCTTTCTTGATATCATGTGTCTTCCGTTTGAAAAGTTTAGTTATCGCTAAGATGTGGAGAAGGGTCTCGTGTCTATGCATTAGCATGCCCACAAACTGCAGCAACAAAAGTAAAGTAAACACGACTAAAAATACAAACCCAAGTGGTTCGATGGTCACCGTATCTGTTATTTTAATGTTGATGATATACTTCACTTCGTTCATCGCCGTCATAATAGCTAACCACAGTGCATTAAGGAAGAAAAATCCAAAAGCCACTTTATTCCTTAATTCAGCGAGCATTTCCTTATCTTTGTCTACTTTTTTCTTATCTTCATCTAAGGGGTAAAGGTAATGATGAACTAATCCAATCCAAAATTTCTCTTCCTTTTGATCTAATGTGGATATTTTCGTGTTTCTCACATCTTCCGTCGCCCATGACGTTTCGTCCAGTTGATTGGGATCAATCTTTGGTATTTTGTGTCGCCTGCTTTTGAGAAGTGATTTCTTACCAACTGCCTGATCAGATGCTTGATCTGTTTCGTCCTTACTTTTTTCGAATATATTTTGAACAGACTCCAGAGACTTCAAAATAACTAGATTATTCATCCAACGGAATACGGAAAAGAATGCTTCTGAACAAGAAGCTCCGGAAACATTTGTGTTCTTTACTTGTTTTATCATACCACTGATCATTTCCGTCGTAACAAAATCTATTTCGTCTTCCGTCTCCTTCTTTTTGCTCTTTTTACCACCCTGTCCAGCATTTTCTAAGACTGCTGTTTTATTTTCTCTCGTTCCCCAAGATACATTGTTCAAATTACAGATTGCGTAAATTATCAAGAAAAGATATCCTGCTGGAATACAGATAAAATAAAGAATTCCCCAGATAAGGTCACCAAACTCATGTGGATGAAGGAGGCCAGCGATAAGGAATGTGCCAACAAGAATATAGAAAAACATTCCTGTAGGAGTATACCAGCCCTCGCTAGCAATCGACACCAGTGTCCCTACAAATACTGCCATCATTAATAGGGCATAAATAGCACTTAGAACCATCGCCCAGTTCAGTTGCGTGTCTGTTTTACATTTAAGACAAACAAATATAAAGAGTATTGTTGGGCCATATGTCAAAAGATAGGCCAACCAAGGTGCAACACCAAATACTGAGGCAACGGCAGACTCAAGTGCCAGCAAAACAGTTGAAGGACCCAAAACCGATGATACAAATAAGATAATTTGATAAAAAATGTAGAAGTATGAAATGTTTGGATTCGTTTTCGTTGTACGGGCATAACTTTGTAACAAATCCAAAATGTTGGCCATTGTAGAGGGCATCCAGCGTCTTCTCTGGTTGAAAAACTCTTTAAACTCTTCCGGAGCAAATGTTATGGCTTCTGCTGCGGCACAGTATTCAATTTTGTATCCTTGTTGCAGCATAAGAGTACAAAGCCACCTATCCTCTCCTGTAAAAGGAGCATATTAACAGTTTAAAATATATACATTTTAGCATTAATTTTTTGTGCCAAAAAAGCTCCTATTGGATAGGGAAATTTGCTGCAAAAGAGAAAAGAAATTCCTGTTCTATTCTCAATTATTTTTATTTGCAAATATCTTCTTGATATCTGCCGAGAAAAAAACATTTGCATGCTGAATCTTTATTTAAAAAAAAATAGCAATTTTGTTGAACGTACCTTGGTCATATTGCAGGAAATGGCGTGCCTCTGTTGGTAATGTTGCATACGTTCTCATTACATTATCGTCCATAAGAGCTTTCACCCTAAACAAACTGAAACATCCAGGACTGCAAAGTACGCATCCAAACATATGTTCAGCCGACTTCTGAAGCCAATGACCTATTGCGTACTCAAAGCGTTGATACCAGACTACAGGCCCTGTTCGCATTGAACAAGAAGAAAACAAACTATAAATGCTTCTTCCATTGAAACAAAAAACACTTTCAAAAATGTATCATCTTTAACCTAATATATGCAAGATCAACTAATACATGTGAAAAATTGCAAAGCGTTAACTTTTCATATTGAAATTTTGTTTCTTCAAAATATTCCTGTACATAGTATTCTATCTATACATAATTACCTGAACCCCCGGGTTTGATTCGTCCACATGTTGCTCCTACTTTGGGGTTTATCTTCATACGGTCTATTAAAAGCTGAAGAGCTTCTGGTTGGAAATCAACGTCACCATCAAGTGCAAGAATGTAGGAATTTTCAGCCTGTGCAAAGAAGCGTTTTAGCACTGTATTTGAAAAAGTCGAGAAAATATGTGATTGTGAAACAAACTGAGTCATTATCCCTTATTAAAAGCAATTAATATTAAGTATATGAAAAATCATATATTTTGTAATACATGTAATACATATATTTTCTAACCTTTTGCTTCACTTGTTCAGACAATAATTCAAATATTGAAGGCACGTCATCAAAATCCGGATTCATCACGGTTGTTGGTTTATTCTCTTTCATGAGAAGTTCGTATCCAATGAAATAGTACATGTACATGATCTAGAAAAATATACGAAAATATACAAAAATTCTGAAACATTTAATTTTTCAAAGCTCAGAAAGTTATGTCAACATCAAAACCAATTACATCCTTAATAGTTGTATCTATTTACCTGCGACCATCTTTTCTTGTGACGTATTTTTTCTTTGTCTTTGAGATGAACTATCAATTTATTTTCCCCCGGAAGTTCCCATTCCAAACGACCACCATAAGGAGTGACGTATTTTTTAGGCGGATCCAAAACAACTTTTCTTTGATAAAAAGCACTTTAAATAGAAATAATTTTGGATCACAGAACTGCTATGAATATTCTTTCAATAATTTCTATAAAAGCTGAGAAATTTTCTCATCTAAGTAATGACACAAAATATACTTTTGTGGCTGAAAATCAAAACTCAAAATGTTAAAGGTTGCTCAGTTCTCCTGCAGACATGAAGAAGTTTTGCAAAATTCTAGTTTTAAGTAGATTTTAGAAACATTTAGCAAACTCTAGTTGCATCAAGTTCAAAAACTGATGAATAACAGCACTTTTTCTCGTTCTTTTGACTTTTAAGGACTTTATATGGACAGACATTGTTTGTCAGAATGTTCATCTTTTAGATAAACATACACCGTTCACGGTAGCTCAGTCGGTAGAGCGCTCGCTCCGTGATCGGGAGGTCGTGAGTTCGAATCTCAGCCGCGACAAACCTAAGTCGATAAAAAATGGGTAGCAACTGTTCCTTCGCCATGCGCTTGGCACTTTGAAGTGAAAGTTGCAGGTCCTTCGGATAAGACCTTAAAAATCGAGGCCCCGTGTCACGGCAGGCGTTGGCACGATAAAGAACCCTTACTGCTCAATGGCCCTGAGTGCCGAGTATAGGTCAAAATTTTAAGCCCTTTACCGGTATATGGTGACGTCTCTATATGAGTGAAAAATTCTCGAATGGGACGTAAAACAAAACACAATCAATAGATAAACATATTTTAATTCAACTTGTACTCACCTAGCCGCTTCATCCACGATTTCCATGAACTGCCTGACAAAATCATTAGGTCCTCTTTTATTTGTTGATTTATTAGTTTCCATGGCATCATCAAAAGGAATATGTGCTTTTCAAAGAAAGAAACAATGATTATAATATTCTATAAGTCTGATACCATTTTGCAAAATACCTTTGATTTACCATGCTATCTATTTAGGCTATTTGAATGGCTATTTTTAGACAGAAAGTCTTCCTTATATTCTATCTGTATTTTTCAATATCTCTTTATATATACTATATTTCACTAAGCACTTACCTTCAAATGTATAATAATCTTTTTCCTTATGCTTAAGTTCGTTTTTGCTATACTCATATTGAAACTGGTGGTGATCAAGTCTACAATAGATATAATTTTTTTACAGATTTTTTCTAAGAATACTAATATTTACTCTAGGTATAATCCTTATACTCGTACTTTTAGGATGCATAGAAAAATAAAATTTTAAAGCAACACTTAAATAATGTCAGAGTAAAACGCCAAATATCGCTTTATAACATTTTTTATCATTTTTGGTCAAAGATAATGTTTACAATCCAATCTATTCCATTTTTATTGATAATACAATTAAATAATACTGCATATTAATGTTTGAAATATACAGTACCTAAATATAGATATCAGAATCTGCTTCATCTCAATCCGATTTTCGTGCCACATGGTGGCGCAGATATAAACCTTGGAGTCTACGCCAGATGTCTCTGTTTGTTTCTCTGTTTCAGATGCGTTTCGTTTCTTCCTGCTGTGTAACAGTGCCAGGTCTACCATTGGACTACAGAAGTGGGGTAGAACAAACAGTCTGGAAAACATAATAGTGACAGATTTTGAATACTACTCAACAATAAGTATGCAGTCCTTCAATTGAGAAAGTACCAAAATTCAAATACAAATTGTGGTAATTATTTGATGTTATACTGACTTGTTGGCAAATTCCATGCGTTCTTCGCGCTGTTTGTACCAAGCATGACGACAGACCCAGGTTTGTCCGACCCAACCAATGAAAAAGAATGCAACTAGTAACCATTTATCGTCTGCTTTCAATAATAAATATCCATTTACAAAGTCCTTGTCTGTTTCATTAAGTACAATCAATAGGATGACGTAAAGGGGTGTTGCAAGAGTAAGTGGAATTGCAAAACCCAATTTCTGCATGCGTAGTCTACTTGCTAAAACGCCGAAATGGGTTGTCAACACTGCACCAATCGTATGAGCCAGATATGGACCAATCACAAGCCAGTATGATATCCCTTCGTCACTGCACGTGACAGTACTGTTAACGGTGGGGCTCGAAAAATTTAGAAATTCGGAGCAATTTTGGGGGAGTAGTCCTGACACTTTCGTCAATGACATGAATTTATCGTATGTATCATTGATTCCTCGAACATTTTGACAATAAAACGTTGGAAATAGAATAATCAATAGGATTATTCTAAAGATGCTTGACGCCATATGCGAAATCACGTATCCTTTATCTTTTACTCGTTTGTCTTTTCTATCTTCTATGAATCTTCTGCAGACGAAGGAGTATGTTTCGATCCATCTCGCCGACAACAATACTACTGATATCAAAATCCAGGCAACAAGCACTCCTTTATCTGGCCAACGTTTGGCACTTTTAATTTCACTAGACTGGAAGAGGGTGTATGGCACAATTATGACAGCAGGTAAAAGTAATATTAAAAAGAAGATATTAAAAAACTTTTTGATTCCTTTGCGTATTTGGCAAGCTTTTCTGTGGCAGTATGATACCAAATTGACAATGGCGGGTAGTAAGGGCACGGATATTGTTACAAGACACGTCTGTAGTGGGTCGAGATAAGGCATGACCTTGAAAAGCAGACATCCAAGGCCAAAAAGATGAAGCCCTTCTCGTATGATAATCTAAAAAGAAATTTAGTATTCTGTCAGAAATAGGGACAATATATGTTACACATCATTTTAATTATTAGGATACATGTGATATAAAGCTAACGTACAATGTAAAACATTTTTTATGATACTGCTATGACGTTTAGAATATTTAGAACTATACATCAAAGAAAACTTACCATAATAAAACGCACACATGTTGGACTTTCTCGACTACCAAATAGAAACATGAAAAAACTCTGCAAAAATTTGAGAGCGTCAGGGACTGCGATCACGAAGAAAAACAAGTATGATATAAAATCCTGGGTAATGGTTCTCTGGAAAAGTAAAAAAAAAAAAGTAAAACTAACGCCATTCCCATATGTTACTGTAATATACAACTTTACGACTTATTATACTCAAATAAAATATTAATACGAACATAGATTTTTCCTAGAACCAAGAGCATTACCTCGGAGCTTTCGAGGATAATGTTTTCGGTTTTTCTCCAAGAATAGTTTTCTTTAATAAAGCTCAATGCAAGCAAAACTTTAATATAATGAATAAGTACTGTTGTAGCGCATAAAGATTTATGATATTTCTCTTCTCGCTAAGATATTCATGAAACGTCATTTTGAATTAAATTGGAGGAGTTATGACTGTTTTATCACTAATTATAGATGATCAATGCGTAAAAACAAAACCAAAAATGGTAACGTCATTGAGCGTCTTGGAGCACCGAGCTATTAAACAATTATGTGTGCAGACAGGAAAATTCCCGAAAGAGAATAAAATGTTTTTAGATGCTGCTGGGGATGGCTTTCACGTATCTAGTACCAAAGTGTTTAAGTGGTAACAACTTTGTAAGAATGGAAGGATGCATATGGACATTTCTTGATTATAGAGTTGACTCCTGCAATACTCCAATATCCTGCTCATCGCATGGACGTTGCGCCTATGGATTTTGCATCGTTTCTCATATCTGATTGCTGAACTGCGTAGACATTGTTTTAAAGATCTTACCAATATCCGATACGCCACAAAAGACATTAAAATATACATTATAACATGCCTTGATATACTTATTCAATTTTTAAGTCGGAAAAAGACATGAAAAGTCTATAGAAATGAAGAATATTTAGAACTGTGAAAAAAGCTTCACAGGTCTGGAATCAGGTTGTCGCGTCACTTAACGTCATAAAACGTCAAGTGATTGCTCCGTGAATCCTTAGACCGCACAGTAAAAATCAAAGTATATTTTCAAACCTTTAGTAAATGGACCTAATCTTTTACATACTAATAAACAAAACAAAAGAATTTAATTGGACATACGTCATTCTTCAAAGTTTACAATAAATTTTCCGTAAATCAACGTGTCCGCAACTTTTCTAAAAACCCTCGTATATCTGTTCCTTGCACAAATAATATCAATATTCTTACATGGTTTTATTTAAATAATTTTTAATTTTCTCCTCTTCATAATTTTTTTTCATATAATGCTTAAATTCAAATGTGTGTCTTTTAATTTTGGAAACTCACATTTACAAATCTTCGATCTTGGTCGCCAAGCAGTGACGCCAGAATCTGTAGCCCGCCTCGTGTGATGATAACGCCACCTATTAACGCAAACAACAGGAAAATGTAGAACAGGAACTTGAAAACTCTGAAGAACTTGTCGGTAAACCCTACACAGCATTCGGAATCTTCAGGCAGTCGGTCCTTCCGGAAAATGTTCCAAAGTTCACTGCCATCCTCAGACCTGAAAAGGAATTGTACTTATTACATTGTTGCAGTAGTCCTCTTCCCCTCGGGATTAAACTCTTCAAATTCATCCCTTTAGTAAAAATTTAGCAAATCAACACTTTTTTTATTCTTGTTAGACTTTTTTATGGACGAATTTTTTGAGAAAGTTCTTGTCATTATCTGTCTTTATGCCATCTGTCTGTCACACTTTCTTGTCATCGCTTCACTCCATTTAAAGGTTGCAAAAATAATCTTTTCGCAAATGATTTTCCATGTCATGTACAAAATAGTTTCAGATAGTTTGATTAATGCAGAATGATTCTCCACGGGCTCGAAAGAATATGGGTCCAGAGGAAAGCTTTTAATTAAATATTATCCTTCCTTTTATTTTTGCTGTATTTAATTTCATTATCGAATAGTTACAATGAGGTTGCAGATGACATTAAAGTTTCGGATGCTGTTAGTTACCTTCATTCATTTTTTCCAAAAATAGTTTCTGTACACGTATATAAATCTTTAATCAAATCTTAATTTTATTCCCATTTAAGTACCTTAAAATGTGTATATTGATAAGACTTACTTTTATTATCGTCATGGCAATCTGTGATATCAACCATGAATTAGATGCTGTATGTGATGTATATTTTCTTAATTATAGAGTATAGGGTGCTAGGATTTTTATGCAGTATGTGGAGATAACAAACAGTACTCGAGCTCAGAAGTCCATTAAACGTTACAAAATAGGAGCAGAGCAAACACGGACCTCTAAGACATCAGAGGTGGGATCAGGTGCTATGGAGGAGTGAGCATCACCTGCCGACCGGTCACACCCGCCGTGTGCTCCTTGTTATGATCGGGAAATAACGGGAAAATCCGTCGACAATTCAGTATGTAAATAATGGCTTAACAATTAGTATGAAAAAAGTCAGTCAGCATTTGACTTAATGATAGATTAGATGAAGCAAATCCATTCCGATGTTACTGAAGTTGTATGCATATTATACATTGTGATCTATGCTAGTCGGTTAGCCTTAAAATTCTAAGTGTGAACTTAATTTTCTGCACAAGTGACTAGGCAAAAATATTTGGAGCAGATTAGTTACCGAAAAAAGCCATGCCCTACCTTTTTGCTCGTATTATAACAATGAGGATTGAGGAAAATGATACTTTTGTATCTCATCTGACTGTTTATGAACAGTCATGTGTTTTAAAATCTATTCTGTAATAAGTTTACACAAACAGTAACATTTTTAAAAATAATTTTCTTTATATTCTTCTATTCTTTGTTGTAGACTTTGGCCTTAGAACTATACCTCATTATAAATAAAAGGAATGTTGTTACATTAATGTTGTCCAATGTTAATTATACTTTCTAACCAGGAAGTTGGAATTGTTTTTACTAACGTCAGAATGATGATGACATTGATAACATTTCTCTTTTTTTAAGTTGCGAACTTTCACTTTTTAGTTTCAGTGTATCGACAATCTCGATACACTAAAATTAAGAAGTGAAAGTTTGCAACTTTAAAATATGATACGTTATCAATAAATTCTTTAAAAAATAATTAATGTTAAGGATGATTAAAGAGCAGACTTTTTCAATTCATCTTAAGCTAAAAATTTTTACTCGTATTTTGAAACTTAAAATGCAAAATGTGCGCATGCATTTTATCAGTAAAACATTATACCCTTGTAGAAAATTACGACATTCATATACATGTTCATGTATCGTGGTTATGCTACACCCGCCTTGGTATGTTACTTGTAAGGTTTCTCATACACATATGATGATAAACACATATCTATTGTATATCAGTAGCCCCTTTTCACAAAACAACCTTACGACTAAGATCAAAATTTGACAACTCTGTAATTTCTTATATTAATAAAAGTAATATTTTTTTTTCTCAAGGATTATTCGCAATATATCCTAATGTAATAGACATATAAGTTTTTTTTTTTGATCTATTAATATAACTTAGATGCTTTTTAGAGAATTTAATATTGTTTGTACTAATCGTAAGGGGTTTTTTTGTGAAAAGTTCCACTAAATATCTATGTATAGCAAAGAAAATCTATAAATCAATTGAAAGAATAGTAACTTTCCTTGCACAGCTATTTAATTTGGAGGCTATCTCGTAGTATAGAATTGATCATTTTATGCAAATACATGCATGTTAAAGTTTAATATATAAAGATGTTGTACCTTTTGAAAAGATCCAACAGAACTGTTTGCGTGATCAGAATGATCAATGAATCTTCTAAAGAAATTGCAAATTATTTTAACCCTTAGTAACAAGTTTGATCAAGAATTCATATTCATCTTTTGTTAATTGTTTTTACAAAATAGTTAGTACTTGCATTTGATCATGAATTCTTACTAACCGTGCGTTGATAATTAGAAAATTATGTATACTCTATCAATGAATAATCTTCATTTTTACTAAAGGTCTCAATTTACTACATGACTTATATATATATATATATACATGTATATATATATATATATATATATATATATATATATATATATATATATATATATATATATATATATATATATATATATATATATATATATATATATATATATCATTCCACATAATTTATTCCTTCTTAAATATCTTAAAGTACTTTTAGAATGATTTTAATTTTTAAATTTAAGATACTACTTCAGTGACCTTGATCTAGCAGAAACACTCCTAAATGTTTTATGACAACCCATGTGACCATATTAATCATCGAACAAATAAAGAGCCTGTAAATATAGGTGTTTACTAAAAGGAAATAACTTAAATCTTGGGATACTGTGAAACATAATCTCATTTTCTGACCTCTTTCATGAAATAAACACAAAATGTGTGTACATTTTAGAGCAATTCACAGAGTATCATTTTGGAAAATAAACAACATTTCAATAACCAAAGGAGTGAATGACTCTCTCTCTCTCTTTCTCTCCTTTGCATATTAAATTATATCTTATTTTATCTTTTGGTCTTTTGGTTACACATCTAGTTTCATTGTTTAAATTCTTTATCTTGTCTCGCTTTTTGAACTTTATGTACAATGTGAAATGTGATAGTTCCGGATACAGTGCCCTTGGAATATTTGGGAAAAAGCGGGGAAATTTAAGGTTTGCATGCATATATAATTAAGTTGTTTAAAAGGGTAGAATAATTTGTGCATTATGTTTCACATTTTATTATTTAGGTGACACTTTAGTATATGTATCTCAAATACCATTCGTGAGATACAGATGAAAACAAAAACCTGTGAGTTTAAAAGAATAACACTTTAGATTTCGGGAGGAGATCATAGGATAAAATGTAACTTGACGGGTGGGAATTAATGAATTTCCCGTCATTAATTACTTGGTGATCGGATTAATATGCACAGACATTGGGGCTATATCATAGTATGATACTGTTATATAAATATACATGTATATATGTAGTCTTTTTACAGAATTTTCATATTGATATTATATCTGACCCTGTTTAATAAACGTTTTACGTAAAAACGTGAGAACATTTTTCAAGAAACATTTTTTTACACAAATATACATATCAAAATCTTAAGAAATGTCTCATTTCATTTTTAACATATATGAACTAATGCTTATATCTGTAAGAAACCGCTTAAAGAAACGATAATTACCATAAAATACATTTTTCTATACATAATTATTAAATGCATGCAAATCGTCAACTTTTCTCTGGCATAGTAAGTAATTTGAAATGGTTATACACTATATTTCAAGATAGATTTTAAATGCTTTGTGGAAAGGCTTGAAACATATCAAGGTCGAAAAATCAACAAAAAATTGAAATACGTTTTAAATTCTAGCTCCTTGATATCTAGTTTATTAATTATTAATGGGTAGTTTCAAACGTGTCGTTTTTTTAATAGAATTCGTTGACTAGTTTCTGTCGTTTCTTAAAATTTTGAACTGATTCGAGAACAAAAACCAATTCTACCACTCTCCGGTATTCTACTTATACATGTAATAATAGAACGAAGTCACCAGCACATGGAACATATAACTACTGTTTTCTTTAATCATATTTTAATAATTCACTCACCCGTGTCTCGTTTCCCCATTTCTAGCTGATTCCACATCAATATCATCCATCTCTAATGTTGTCGCAGCCATATCTATACATGAAATATTCCATGATTATGAACACAAAACAAGATGAATGGTTACGTTATAATTATTGTTATCAATATGCTCCCTTACCTGTCATTTCTATTTAAATTTTCATACGAAGACCTTGTGTCATTCATTTCAACAAATTAGTAACTCATTTTGAATGTGCAGAATGGGAGAAGATATTTAAAACCTGGATAATCGTTCTCATTCCCGCTGTATTTTCATTGTCAACCAGATCAAAAAAAATAATTAAAAAACCTTGTATTTGAACTAGGGATGTCAAAATATTTATTTTCTTTAGTCGAATATTCGATTGCTTTATTCGAACGATAGTCGAATATATTCGAAACTTTTTCGGAAACTAAAATTTTATTTCAAACTTCACTGGTACATCACAAATTTTACCCCCAAATCCCTTTTTTTTTTTTTTTATTTTTTAAAGAGTTACATCATATGTTACACACAGATGTTCACATGGACCTAAAATGTGGATAGTGTGTTTTTATTTACTTAAAATAGACAGCTAATTTCTCCAAAATATACGATTTTCCCGTCAATCATGTTCATAAATCGGTCTGTGAAGTCGATGTTTTAGGATGCATAAAAAAATGAGAGTGCGATATATTTTTTAAATCTAATTAAAATAAAGGGGGGAGGGGCACACATGGTGTCTGTGATGATGTTAAATATTTGAATATACTTTTTGTACCAAGTATCAAAATGTCTTTAAAATATGTAAAAGAATATTAATTTTATAATAATTATCGTAGTGTCCAAACATGTCACGGCTATAAAGGGTACATGGTTATAAAGAAACAGGGTGACATGCGATAGGGATATTTGTCTAAACTATCAACTTCATCTTCGATTGGATATGTAAAATTTTCAGAATGTATTCTCTTAAATATTTATTATAATGCATTAGTAAAATACAGGTTATTCCAGGTGAATCCCAGACGGAGATCAGACTATAATTGCTATCAAAACATATTTAACACCTATTGTTCTATACCTAATTATCAAATGTGTGCAAAACGGGAACACACCTGGGTACATGTATGAGATCAAGCCCAATTAATAATTTTACAAAGAAAGCGCAGTATAGCGAGATAATTTTATTACAAAAACAACACATTAATTGACGAATAATTCTCGCAGAAGTGAAGCATTTCTAATCACTGTACTTACTGCTTGTAAAGTCAGCAGTTTTTAATGAGGAAAATTATCTTATCGACAGTGTCTGAGGGAAGACGGTTTCTCAATTTTAGGAGGAGAATTCCATCTCTTATCAATCTTTTATTGAATTTATTTATTCGAATGTCGTTTCGTTATTCGATCGTCGGTCCTTTCGACTGATGGTCGAATAGTCGACTATTCGTTGACATCCCTAATTTGAACAAAAAGGATGAATTTAACAAATGCATAAAGTTGTGCAAATATTTCAAGCTTGCCTGACTTTTGGATAAAAGCATTCGTATTAAACAAGAGTCCGAAGAAACCGAAAAAGCGGTCATAAAAATAAAGTTGATTTCTCGAATAAAACTTTGCGCCTCTGTTGGGTCCTGAGGTTACCCTTTGATCCATATTTCGAAGAAATGTAAATATGGATGATACTGAAATAACTGCAAATTTTAAAAGTTCTTGAAATAAAAATTAAAAAAAAATCCATACATTGCCCTTCAAAGTTTATCGATTTTTAATTCTTTTATTTTTATTTTTATTTATTTTCTTTTTTTTTTTTTTTTTTGGCGACTGTAAGATTCGGGGAAATTAAAAGAAAATTGAACCAAAACTCCATAATAATGTATTTGATAAACATGCATATAAATTTCCCATCCTTGCCCTTGTAATCTCGAGAAGACTTTACGATTTCTTAATGTTCTCCCATTGTAAAGGCCTGATCCCTCGTTTCAACAACTCGAATTTTTTTGCATATGATACTTTGTGGCGTAATATGTTAAAATAATTTTTTGGCGAACAATTAACAGATGACACACAACTGATAAGGACAGGCGGACGCCGAACACTTTTTGATCAGAAAAACTGAATTGAGCCTTTGGTGTGCTGTAATGTCTTGAATGGATCTAAGTAACATTCCTATATAATATTATCGATAATTGGATAGTTACATAAAGTACACGGTACACAAATAGTTTTAAACATATGGAAGATATATCATGTTACCTAGCTTTTACATTAATATGTGGCATTTTATTGGCACTAAATATTAAGTATGAAAATATTCTTGCATATAAAAAAAACAAACAAACTGAATACCGTACAAGACAAATTTGCAAATATATGGATGATACAAGGTTGAAGTTTTTTTTTTAACAGCGAATGCTGCGATGCATACATTCAAATTTATTTATAGCGACGAATGCATGTCAATCTCAAAGCGTTTTGACATGGACTTGCTCGGGTTTAGAAATATGCTAAAAAGCATGATTTTTTTCTGCTTCTTAAAATTTGCATACAATACAATACAACAATAACATACAATAAAATCAAATCAACAGTTTACTATAATCATATTTAACTTACATTTTGTATTTGGACATTAAAATAGTTTGTTTCAAATAGAAATACATGTACCTACCACATTATTTCCCAGTGTAATTTAACCCCAGTAGAAACTCTTTAATGTTTGCATGGCTGTTGAAATTTTATCTTCTCTTTGTTATATATAGCAAGGTTAAGGACACCTTTCCTTAGTATCAGAATCAGGCAGCTCTATGATATATATTTTTAAAGTTTAAATATAAAGTGCACAACAGCAACGTTGACCCTTTTTTTCCCGCATTCTTTTTTAGTATTAGCAGTTTTGCCATAAATGGCCTTATGAATGATATGAAAAAAATGCACAAGTATGAAAGATCCCTCCCCCCCCCCCCAAAAAAAATGAAATATGACCATAATTTTATTTTTAATGCAGAAAAGTGTCTAATCTTTTTTTTTTTTTTTTTTTTTTTTTTCGATTTCTTTGTTTACTTTTTATGTATATAAATTCAATCATTGATGTGATTGCGGAACATTCTTGGAGGAGACCAAGGTTTAAATTTGCGTCAATATGTAATCTCAGAAATTCAACCTCACTACGAAATTGAGTTCCGATGTAAATAGAGATGTGGTAGTGTGTACATGTAATATGCAATAACCCCTCGGGTTATTGAATCCCTCCTTGACAACTGTTACCAATGTTTCTTATCATGGCACACAAGTTTACTCATATTGAATTCGGTTGATTTACGATAAAGTTATTTGTGTTCCCCCAATACGTGCATATTTTTCAATGTGACCCAACATGTCAATTTTTTTTCTATTATACAAGCTGTATTGTAAACCTTTCCCTGTATTCTTGGATACTTTTATATAGCTAGATCGAAATAAAGTGTGATTAGTTAATATAATTAACATGTACAAGAATTGCATATAAAGTGTAAATTTCTATAGTGTGATTCGTCTTTTTTTTTTTTTTATATTTATATAGTGTGATTCGTCTTATATTATTTTAAAAAAGAATACTGTAATATTATAATTCTAACCGGCAAGTGTTAATCATTTTGAAATGTTCTGGACATTTTAAGGTCGGTTGAAATAGAACGATGTCAACTGTCACTTGTAATTTCCATGAAAATTAAGACAATGAGGATATTTTTCCTCGGGTTCAACACGGATATATTTCTTGATAAACACAAACACACCCGATCATAAATTTAAAACGGAAATATTTTGACAGATATAACCATTATAAATATGCTTATGGTTTGTTTGAAATGGAAGTTTGTCATTTTACATCAAATTTACACTTAGCAAGAAAATATTTCAAAATGAATTGTCAAGATCACTTCCTGGTCTGACAGGTTTGAAAACCTAATTTTCTTTTCTTTTTTTCTTCTTCTTTTTTTTTTTTTTTTTTTTTTTTTTTTTTTTTTTTGAAGGTAAAAATTTTCGTTCCCCCGATCGATCGATTAATCGAGAAAAAGAGGAATTTTTTGCAAGATACATAAAAATAATCATAGACCAAATAGGATTTGTATCACGCTGATTAGTATATGCAAAAACGAGAAACTGGTCGCAAAAAGTAATTTCCTCGTTAAAAGATACTAATAAGTAAAGAGAGTAACCCTTCGAATGCTGATTATCCTCTGATATTTAGCTTCTGTTATCTGAGTATAGACTGCCACCCAAACATGGCGCCAAACGACTAGATCACAATTATTGACAATACATAAATATGTCTTCCACTCTTTATTTATAGGTCATAAAGAAAGGTTAACTTGGGTTGTGGTATTAAATGTCAAGGGTGGTTATAAAGGAATACCCGATAAGCTTACTGTTATCAATGTTATAGGATACTGAATTTATTAATAAGTTTATTGAAAAATTCAATTCAATAATGTCTTGATATATGTAAATTTCTGTTTCCAATAAACTTTACCCAAAACTTGCTTATAGTTGAGAAAAATAGTTCGTATGGCCTGAGACTTTTTTCTTTTTGATTCGGTTATCAATTATTGTATTTTGATGAGTTGTGAGTTTGTAATTAATTTACATGTGTAGTTCCATGGGATTACTCCCTATATATGAGAGGAATGATAACTGAATTTATTACATTTTCAACAGTGAAATACTGTGATTTATTTATTGAATAAAAGTGATATTCTCTCACAGTGTAAAAGGATACCAAAATGATATTCTCTCACAGTGTGAAAGGATATCAAAGTAAGTAAAAAATAATTTCTGGCCTGTCATAAGATAGAGATAGTAACTAACCATCTTGATAGAGCTAAAACTGCAAATTTCTTCCCAAATATGTTGCTAAATTCTATGCTATGTAATGTTTTCAATCTCACAACTGGTAAGCTATGGCGTCTCACCGCTCAACTATGACGTCAAGCCTATGACACTGTGTTAAGAATAGACAGAGGCAAAGGGAAAATCAAAAAAAAAAAAATGTAATAAACAGAAAATTCAATGTTTTGTAGATGAATATGGAATT